CAACCCTTCTCTGCTGGAGCAGACAGCACAGCCCAGCCCAGCCCAGGGCTGGAAAGCATGCTGGGATGCTCAGGGACTGTGATTTAACTTGAACCAGGAAGGGGGCTGGGACAGAAGTTTCATAAACTGGTTTGACCCAGATCAGTTAAATCTGATACTACATTGAACCAGGTTTATCTTAAACCAGTTTTGGCCATTTTGAAACTAGTTTATGTGCACTAAACTTCTGTTCTGGTACAGGTTTAAACCAGTTTCTGATTACTTAAATCGGATTACTGTAACTTCTATCGCTAGCCAAGAATGGGAGAAAGACAGACATACTGATTTGGAATTGGGAGAAGGCAGGAAAAGGACAAGACACTGAAACAGAGAGCTGGCAAGTCAAAGACAGAAGCACACAGCAGAGGAAAGTATGGGAAGAAACATGAGACTGGACGTTTATGCCCAGACAGTGTAAAATGGTCTCATGCCAAGATGTCCTATACTAGCTTCTGAATGAGGAGCAGTATAGTTATAATTGTGCAGTGATGTGCCTGGGGAAATTACCTCTGCTTAGGGAGCAGAGCTTATTAGATTGGGTACAGCACCATGCTAATACAGGTGTACTGTTTCCGGGTCTAGAGAGTTCATGGGTCACCTCCATTGCACTACTGGGCTATAGTTTTTGCTGTGTAGGGTTCAAAGCAAAACGCTGCGTGCAGGGAATGAGTCATAGTCTCTCTGAACTTCAGGGTTATCTGATCCTTAAGTGCAGCTCCACAGTAAATAAATATGTATTTTATCTGTAACTCCTCAATTCAGGTGTTTGCTTATTTATACTGTACTTCATTTTGTCCTACACTGAGTTTAAGTAGATGGGACCTAAAACGCATCTAGATTTTATTTTGATCACCTATAAGAAATCTTTATACAGGTTTCCCTCGCCAACTGCTGGGGTTAGGTTCCTGGGAAGTTCCCGTGGTTGGCAAAACTGGTTGACAAGACAAAAGGCTTATGGGTAAAATGGCAGGTGGTGGGCTGATGCGCAGCCACGGAAAACCATGGTTACTCAAAACTGTATACTGTAGTAGCTGAAATGGTATATAGAATATTAAGCATGGATACTCAAAACTGTAGTTGGCAAGGGAAACTTGTATCACATATCATTATAACCAGGTTCAACTTTACACCATACTCTAAAACAAATATACAAAAATGTTTTTATTATAGGATTGATTGAATGTTATAATTAAAAAATGGTGTTTTAAGTGTTGTGTGTTAAACCTTTAAACTTGCCCTGTTTCTGCAGAGGATGTGTTGAGTAAAGATGCTGGGGAGTGTGCAATATGCCTGGAAGAGCTGCAGCAAGGAGATACTATAGCACGACTGCCTTGTCTATGCATATATCATAAAGGGCAAGTATTCTTCATAATCTGTATACACTGTATCCTTTAAAAATTCCATGTACCAATATGTGTTGAGTCATTTTTTTGTAAGGAACAATTAAAAGGACACTATCGTTTAAAGATCTAGTCACCTTTTTATTTTAAAAATAGTTAAAAGTACTTTTCAGGTCTCCGTGCTATCAATTTGTTTCATCTTACAGTCAAATTTCTTTCTTGTTATTTTCTGTCATTATTATATGCAAGATCTAGAGAAACAAAAGGAGAAATTGGCTATGCTAGGAAAACAGTAAAAATCACAACACATTTTCTCTAACATTTGTTATGTTAATTTTAGATCATGATTACAACAACATTAGTTAAAACTGACATACAACAGTGTGATTAAGGTGATGGTGTCCCTCAACACAAAACGTGTACATATAACTGCGTGTAACATGTAAAATAGGCAACACTTCCCAAATAAACTATTATTATAGCTTATTTAAAGAGGAGTGAAATATGATTTTATACACAATAATCGTATATATCTGGTCTCGTCTGTTGTTCAGGGTATTACAAAAATATCCAGTGAATGCTGAAAAATACTTTGCCACACATTTCAGTTGAAGTGAGATTTCCCCAGCATTTTCCTTCACCTATGGGAGGCATTTGGATGGGCAATATATTGATTTGTGCATGTGTATTTGTATATGGTATTTTATATTTATAAGCACTTTATAAAATGTCTCTATTCAACTTACCTTAACTATGATAATTTATTCTACTTGAATACCTTGTTTAACCTTCATTTATTTTCTTTTTTGGTTTACACTTCAACAGCTGCATAGATGAATGGTTTGAAGTAAATAGATCTTGCCCTGAACATCCTTCAGATTAAGACCAGGTTCCTGTTCATTGGTAATTTCTCTTTTTATGTATTACATTGTACTTTTCAATAATAAGATAAGTGTATTGAAGTAGATCTATGTTCAGATCTAGATGATACTAATCAGTAAGTATCTGGCATGTGTGAAAGATTTCTGCATGCTCATAACCACAACAACAATGATAAATTCTAGTTTTTAAATTAGAAAGACACCAGAAGCAGTTCTTATGAATAGCTAGCAGCTTGTTTTAAGACTATTTTTATTATGGAAACTAGATTTCCTTAAAGTGAAACCCAAGAATTTTTCATAGCAAAGTAAACGCTGATATCTCTTTCTGGGCTGAGCCCCACTTTCTTATTTTGAACGTGTCTTAATTTTCAGGTGATGTTACAGGCCAAAGGAGCACTTTTATCCTTCTGGCAGAAGGAAGGGCATGGTAGCACTTTAGAGACCAACTGGTTCAAAGAGGCATAAACTTTTGTAGGTGACAGCCTACTTTGTCAGAGTTTATGAATGGACTTTTATTTTTTTGGGTAACTTGTTTTTAAGCTTTCTCTAAGCTACCAGGTCCCGCTGTAACAAAACACACCTGGATTCATAGGAGCATTGTAAGCAATAGGGATAGATATTCAAACTCTTTCTCTCAACCAATTTAGATTTTTTTAATGCAATACCATTCCTCAGTGTTATGCTCTTCATTATACCACTGTGCACCATGGCTCACATTTGCTGTGATGCTAGAGATAATTGTGACATCATCACAGAGGCAGCAGAAAAAACTTGCCAGTGTGCAGGCTGCTTTTTTTCCCCGTAGCTCAGTGCAAGAACTAATTTTTCATTTTGACAAGTACCTTCATAGAGCTTCACGTGTTGCCCCTAGTGTATTTAAACCACAGGAGAAGCACAGCATGATGCTTTTAAAGATGTTTGTCTTTGTAAATGCTTATAGATTTTTTGCTAAATCAAATGTATTTAATATCCAGAAGATAAAAATGATCCACAGAGGAGTATGAATGCAAGAACAATCTTAGCTTTCCGTGTTTTGGAAAGTTATGCTTACTGGGTGCATCTTACTGTAAAACTGAAGATATCATTCTTTATTTTCACTCCTGCAGCTGCTTCCACTGATCAGAAGATGTAGGAGACTTGAGATTCCATTTCTGAACACAAATTTGGGAACATACCTGGCTTCAGACTTGTGCTGCTGTGAGCCTGGCAAAGATGGATAATCACATGGAATAATGGCTGCAGGAAGACCAGTTGCTTTCCAATAGAGCTCAGTGTACCAAACATTTATACAGAGGACACACAGGGATTTTGAAAATGCTGCACATTCTGTAACAGTCTTCTCCCTATGGACATTAATGACAACGTTTTGTATTTAAAGGCCAAAGTTACTAATTTCAGTCTAACTTTTATTAAGTTCTGTGCAGAAGCAGGTTGTGGATGTCTCTTTTCCTCCCACACATGGAATTCGCATTCTGAATCAGTACTGTCTGAAACATTTATGCGAGGATGACCAGATTTTTGAGTGGAAGCTTTTCATCTTTCCATAGGCTAAAGAAGACTAAATGGCAACTGAAGAATAATTTAGCTATGCGAATTAATTCACTGAAGTTGCACCTGGGTGTATGGTCTTCATGTATTTCAAGAATGGAAATTGTAATCTTCCTCTGCATAGGAAAAACCGTATTTCAGAGTTTCATAACTAATCCTTTGTCTGTCAGAATGCAGTCCAAAGAATAAAGCCAAGGCAGGTAACTAATTAATATTGATCCAGCTATAGGATTGTTGAAATCTGCACATTGCACTGCAATTTAAACTAAAATTTCTCTTTTACTGCTTATGGGTTAAAAAAAAAAAATGCAGCAGAGTATAATCTTGCAGCTATGCAACATTTTTTTAATAGAATAAGAATTATCCCGTTTTAAGTGCTGCCAGTTGAGGTAATTTGTTTAACGGGTATTTTTTAAAAATGTTTTAGGTAATTATTTTATTGTACTACTTTCATCTCCAGACTGCCTCCCTAGGTTTAGGTAGAAAATTGTAAAAATGGGCACAGTAAAGAATTTTCTAAGCATTGAGATTACATAGGGGTGAGATTTGCGTTTCATTTTTGAAACACTTTATACACAAGTTTTTTTTAATTGAAATTTACTTGATGGCAGATCTGTAGTCTTTGCATCTAACATCAATGGTCTTTTTATGTACAGATTAGCATTTGACAGTGTTTTTTAACAAGCACCTATATTTGTTTAATTTATTGTTCTACCGTGTTATACTGGCTTTACCAGGACTTAAAAAAAATGGGAGATACCTATAGGGAAATACACCAGGCAGAGCTGTGGATAAATATGAATACCTACAAAATACCACAATTTAGAAAACAAAAGAAAACCTGGACAAGGTATCAGGGCTTAAAAGCATATATTTTTTTTATATTATGAACTGATCCATAGTAGCATTTCATAATACAGGGAAAAATTATGAATATTTATTAATGACTGCAGTTTTTAGTAAGTTTCAGTAGCAAAATTAAGTTGCACAAACACTTCAAGTGTTAAGCATTTCTTATGTCTGCTTAATTCAGCTTTTCTTTTGTCTGTGTCTTTTTTTTTTTTCTTCCCCCTCTGTTTGCTACTCTGTTTCATATTGGGCAAGTCTGGAGCATCTGCTGCTACCCAGAAATACTGTTGTGTTGCACATTCTAAGTCTCTTCTGCTTGCAGAGGGATTTTAGATTAGATAACATCTTCCCATAAACTTTATGCTGTGAAAATGCCTTTTGTTATGCTGCAAATTAAAGAAATCAAAACCAGTTAATTGTAACAACCAGCGGTACAGCTTCCCAGGTGCTTTTTAAGTTTTTCTTGCATCGTCCATTTTAAATGAATCGCTAATTGTGGCACCCAGTGGTACTCCCTTTGATAGCAGTGCAAGTAGAACCACTGTCACGTTTTTAAATTGTGTAATCTCATCTACCATACAGCAGTTTCCTGCACAATTTCTTTTGTAACAGAATTGTTTAGTTGCCTTCTAATATTAAGGAAAAACATTACAGCAGCTGTAGCATTTTACTAGTGACATCGTCTCCCACAGGGTCACATTTTCTTCTGTTTTGAATGACCTGCATCTTTTGAGAGAGAGGCAGTTTTGGTATTTACGTTGACTTAATGTTCTTGGTTGACTTAATGCTGGCAGAAACTACTGTAATACACAAAGGAGGTTAGCGGTATTTTGGTGTCCTGTGCTCCAAGGTAGTAGCTTATGTCCTTTCGCTGGGGATTAAGTTAGATCGGTTTTTAAACATAAATCTGTTTACAACTTAAGCCCAATTTCTGTTCACAGTATGTTGCTTTCTCTAAACCTTGATCTTCTACATTTAGATGTGCAAGTAAATGATTGAAAGAACAAACATTCCAGTGTTTTTCATCACTTAAACTTAAGGCCAGTGTCAATGCAATGGTTGAGAGCCATTCTAATAGCAGACGCTTACCTATGGTTTTGCAGTCAGGGTTCTGTCACTTGGCCAGCCTAGCAACCCCTTTTTCATTTTGTTTTTGATTCCTTGGATGGTTGTGGTGGTTTCAGTCCTAAATTCTGGATACATGCAAAACTTCTCCTGAAGCTGGTAAAGTTTTGGCTATGCAATGGAATACAGGATTAGACCCTTAATGTGGACCATACTTAGGATGAACAGGAAAGATTAGACTGGAGTTTGGATTTGAAACTTAATGTGGAAGTTCATGTATGTAAACTTTCATCCCAAAATACTGTCTGCCACTGCTTATGAAACAAAAACATACAGCTCCCTTGTTAGTTTTAAACGATGCCATTTTCAAATATTCTAATTTCTTTTTTTTAATATTCCTTTTTCAAGGTCCTAGATCACAGTGCTTCAAAAAAGAAAAAAGTGCTGTGTCTAGGAGAAGGTCACCTTTGTGTACTCAGAAGCAATAAGTTAAATTAGGGTGTGCCACGCTCTTTGTCTACAAATATAGGAATTGCCAATTTCAATTCTTTCAGGTGATTTAATTTCATTTGGCCTATATCTTGCCCAAGTGTGTAAGAGAGTGAGCTTATCTTCATACTCAGGTTTGCCATAAACATGCTACTTCCCAGAAGAGGAAGAGTAAATATAACATCCTAAAAGGTGAAGCTTGTCACCATATATCTTGAGTAGCAGCTTGCATAAAGGTGATGGGGCGTAATTGCTATGATTTGGATTTTATGACCCTATTCCAAGAGAAGCATGCTGCTAACAGTTACAGGAAGCTGTATGTATATTTAGTGCATCTGTTTTCACATTTTTTAAAATAGTAAACTAGTTTTCCTTGTGTGTATGTGTTAGACATTGATTTGAGTGGGAAATGAAAGGAAAGAGAGGAAGCACACTGCAAACTTGCAGTATTTAATTTTGGGAAGACAGAAGCATAAATGAATTACAAGCAGGAGCATCTGTCTTAATTCTTGTGTTTCAGGGTGAGTATACTGCCATATTTGTATATGAAGAATTTGGAAAGGAACTCACGAACTTGTGGGGGGATTTCTTTGACTTCTTATGCTTTTTATGTTGTAAAAAGTTCCATGGTTTCAAAGAAAAGCTCTTGAAGGTTATTTTAAAAAAGTTCTGCTAATGTTTTAAATGACAAATGTCAGTGTTGTTTTGTTTTTGTGGAAGATGAGCAATCCAGTAAGATTGAGTTCACCAGAAACTGGAACCTAAGCAATTGTGCGGAGGGAGACTTTTAGTCAGATGCTTTGAAACTTACATTTCTTTCTAATTTGTATCTAACTCCTGAAATAGATTTGAAAGAGACTCTTTCTTGATGGAAATTTCAGTACCCCAACCTTATTATTGGAGGGCTTTAGAAATACTCTCCTTCCAGTTCTCCAATCTTTCACCAAAAACAAGAGTTTCAAGACTTAATGTTCTTGATCTCCAAGAGAACTGCCACACACTGTTGCGGGGGCAGGTAAACCTGGGTCTAGTGGCATAATGAAGAGAGGCCAATTAGGGCACCAGATCTTGGCGCTGGTTCTTGGGGGTTGGGGAGCAAAAATTGCAGCAGCTCTGCTACCAACCTACCTGCTGCCACTTGTAGCACAGCCAGTGACGTAGCCCTGTGCAACACTGCTACCCATGGTGCTCACGTCTCCAGTTACACCCCTGCCTCAAGTCACCTTTAGTACCTCCCCATGTTTCCATGAGTTTCAGCTGCTTTATCATAGTCAACAGAGTGATTCTATTTAGATTGATTATAGCTGTTTACATTCATCAGATCTATGGCAGAGTGCGAGTTATCTGGCCACAAATTATACTTGGTTTCAGAATACAGAAGTTCTAACATGGCCAGGGCAAGTGGGAAGTTTCCTAGTGGGTTATTGTGGCTCTTAACTTGACCAGTGCAAGATTTTGCTAGTCATGGTTTCATGCCTCAAACTTTTTATGTCAGTCTCTTCTGCCGACCCCCAAACACTGTACAGTTTTAGGAGCTTACACTGCCCTTTTTCTTTGGGAAAGAAGGACTGTTCTTGGCATTATGTCAATGATACGTTACCCCATCAGCTTGCAAGAAAAGCACTTAGTGTAACCTTTGCTGCAACCGCTAATCTAACTGCATTTGACCAGCAGGTACAACAGGTTGCACAAATTAAATTTTTGCCATCCCAGATGGCCCTGTCATGAGTGGCCAAGTTTTCTTTGTAAAATGTAGAACTTAAACTATGTTTCACTAAATAAATTCCACACAATTTCATGTTTACTTCTAAAATCAGCTCAGTGATTGGACCTTAATGTGTGTCCCATTCCCCCCATATTTCCCCCGTGTTGGAAGGAGGACTCATTACACCTGAGCTGTGCATTTGGTGGTTGTGGAGTTGCAGCACCAAAATTGAAATCAAGTATTTAAAATTCCTATTGCAGAAATTTGTCTAGCCACTGCACAGTGTTATGGAGACTGTAGACTATCTCACCTTAATATCCATGTCAGAACCACTGATTGGATGAATTGTAACAATTTAATGTGAGGTATTGCTAGATACTGAAGACTTGCTTAGCAAAACTGTTGCATATGCAGGAGGTTGGACTTAATGATCTAATGTATGCCTTTTCTCTCTGTTAGCTACAATCTTCTCCCCTAATGAGTTGCCAGTAAACAATACTTAGTGGGCCTGCTGCCTAACTGTTTGAAAGAAGCTTCTTTGCTTGTTGCTGTGCTTGTGGCAGCTTTCAGTCCACAAACGTTTGACATCCTTACTCCATCAGGTTTGCTTTGGCAAAGGTATTATGATGATAAATAGGATCCAGTTGATTCTGGCAGAATTTCAAATGCAAGTAAACCCCCCACATTGTAAGTAAATAGCCTCTGTTGATAAATCCTATTACCCTTGGTTTCTTCAAACATTCTCTTCCCCCCCGCCCCTAATTTATCTTATTGAAAAGTATTCACTGTTAAAATCATAAATGGCACAAGCTCTCAACAGGTTTAGAATTTAATGAGGACATCACATTATGATTGTGTAGGTTTTCCCATACATAATGAACTGAAGTTGAAGTATTGATCTTTGAATAGCAAATATCACTCTTCTAGCTGACTTTTCCCAAAGTACTGCAAAATTTTAGGAGAACAGGGAGGCAGCTCAGCTGTAGAGAGGACTATTTTAAACTTAACTGAAAACCTGCACCATTACATTCAACAAGTGATGATGTAACATTCATGTTTCCACATGACTGAGGAGAATCTTGTGCTAACTCTCCTTACCATTAGGAAGATGTTATATGATGGTAAAAGATGAAGAGTATCCACGTTTTTACATACCTCTTTCCACAAAATCTACTGTCTCTCCAAACTGTTAGATGGAACTCTGTCGTAGCTTACAAAATGCTCTAATTTAGTGGTAATGAGCAAGAAGTCTTCCTTCATTACCCTAGGCATAAATAAGAATGTAATTTGCAATGTCTAATGTAAAACATGTTTGTAAATTTTTGTAATTGAGCAGTATGATTGGAAGATGACTTACGTTGTTAAGGTACATTTTTTGATGGTCTGCCAGTACATAATCGTGAATGAAATATTTTTTTATTGATTTTGGGTTCTATGTTTAACATTCCATTTATGTAAAATATGTACAAATATATGTAATAAATCTTTTGAAGCACACTTTCCATCATGATTCCAGGTGACTTTAGTATTGATAAAACAGATAATGCTGTGGATTTGGTAGAGTGGTTTTCTTGATGCCTTAAGTAGTATGTTGAAAGCATCCTTGGGCAGTTGAAACAGTGTGGAGATACAGGAATGAAAAAAAACTTCTCCTGCAGGCTGGCTGGAGGCCTGTAGCTAGAAACTCAAAGTACAGTACCACTGTCTGGCCCCTGCTGTAACCCCCAATTCTGCCTCTGCACTGTAAAGCAGATGTGAAGCAGGCCTTTGAGCAATCAGCTAGAAGTTTCCTTGGTAGCATGGAGTTATTTTAGTTGATCTTCTGCCACATCAGGCTAGACCATAGGCAACTGGGGGCCATTGTGGGGGGCATGTGCCACCCTGAGATTGGCCACCTCTGCTGCCAGCTTCTGTGGACAGTTGCCGCTCGCTGCCCCCCTGCAGCTGCCATTGGCTTCTGTAGGCAGTCACCTGCCAATGCTGCCGCCCACAAACTGCCCCCACAGTCTCAGGAGGCACCAGTCATCCATGAGCTAGAGTGTGTGGCTGGGGGAGGAGGGCAGTGAGTGTGTTGTGTACTGTGGTGATACCTGCCTGGCATTAACTGGCCTTCATCAAGTTTGAGCATCCATAGACCACTGGCCTGTCCTAGATGTGTGGGGGTGGCAAAAGTGGCAAGCGACTTTCCTTATGTTCCCTTTTTGGTCTTGTTTTGAGCAGAGTTCAACTAAACTAGAGGATCAAGCGTGATGTGTCCGGTCACTTCCTTCTGGTTCATGTATTAAATACCATTTAATCCAAGCTCATTTACTAACATTCTTTGTAACTTTCTTTTGATTTTTAATGCTTCATTAATATGTACTCAGCTCAGCTGTCAGTGGATTTCCTTGTCTTGCCAAATGGTCACTGGTGTTGCCACGTCTGTCTCTGGCCAGCATGCTTCCTCAGATGCACGTTGGCTGCTAATGGAGCTAATCATTGTGCAGTGCTGTGGAAGAAGCAGATGGTGGCAAAACAGCGTACAAATGTTCTTTCTATTGAGGACAGAGCAATTTGTGCAGGTAAGTGGCTTCTTGCAAACTTAATCCCTGTGCAGCAGAGTGCAGATAATAAGCCAGACAGCTCATCTAGGCAGTGTCTTGTGCACTGTGGATACAAGTAGAAGGATTTAACAAAGTCATTAGAGCTCTTAACAGTGTTTTTTGTCTATGCTGACGCTGGTGTAGAAGCACATGCCTTATGCTAAAACGAGTCTAATCCAAACAGTAATGCTGTCACATGTGCGTCATGATACAGGGGGTTTGTTACAGCATTGCTATGGAGACCACAGTGAATGGCACATTGAATTGCAGTGCTTTACAGCCAACTCCTGGTATTTTGAGCAAAATCAAAATAAAGGAGTATTTTGCAGGGGACTGAGGTGAGAGCTAAAGGGAAAAATCTTTTTGTCCCTTCCCCCTCCAAGTCCTAGCATGACATGAGCTCTTCACATGAGCCATTTTGGCCATTAGCTTTACATAGTTATTTCTCCACTGCCTGCATCCTGATCCTGAACAGCCATTGGGGTGATTCACAGCACACAAAGATTACCACACTTATTCATGCAGCAAAACTATGTCATCGTTCCTGGGTTTCTTGGAGATATTGCAGCTGGGAGGATTTCTTTGCTAATCTGTCAGTTTTTGCAACTGATGGAAAAAAACATAACACAGATCCGGAATGTTTTAAAATACACAATTTCCCAGATAGGAGATTTGAGTGAGCCTCTGTAATGAGCACACAGCAGCTAAAATCCTTTCTAGAAAGTTTCTCAATTTCCTTCCTTTGCATTGCCTTGTAATTCCTTTCCACGTGGCTAAGAAGTTCGGTGGCATCTGGAGATAAGGAGTTTGGTGGGGGAAACGAATCTGTCTAGAGAGAGCAACTTGCTTGCAAATTTTAGTTGTGTTCAACTAATGGTCCAGAGCTTGCTTTATAATTCAGGTGTGGAGCTGGAGTGACTCCTTGGGAGGTAGCAGTTTCAAATTTAAACCAGTATAACTTGGAGCAGATTTTGGTTCTTTCCTCTTCCTAATCCCAGCCTATCCACTAAATAGCATTGCCTCTTGGACAGGGAAACAAATATGTTTTAATGTTTCCGAGCACTGGCTAGAAGAGGCCTCTTTTTGTCCTGGCCTTATTGTTGGCCTGCTTGTGTTCCTAGGCAGGCCATTATATCTGTTCCCATTCCCAACCTTTTCCCATTTTCTCTGTTTCGATGATAAACTTCTAAGGACAGGAATAAGTTTCTCTTAGACCATCTTGCATCACATTAGGCATTCTTTCACCACCACATTATTGTTGCCAGTCTTCCAGTAAATAGGGAAGTCACTGGTGAGTCTAGAGATGACTGAAGAGGCTGATTTGAGATCCGTGTGTCAATTGCAGATGTGGAAAATAGTTCCAGGGGGAAGGAGTGGGTCCTGGTGATGTCAAGCCACAGC